CACTTAAATTATTAACACTGAATTTACACAGCGAAAACGTACTGCCCGCTTGCTTCTGATCACTAAAGTGCGGGGCGGGGGCAAAAATATTTTTCTGTTATCAGTGATACAACGCAAAGTATTTTAGAAAAAACGGAAATTGAATCTTTAGTGCTTCTATGCGCTTCAACAGTGCAGAAATCTGTTAACAAATGGCACCGTATTCTAATTATAGTGCACAAAAATTCTTTCAAATTTCGAGGCATTTTTTATCTATCTTCATGGAGTACGTTTGACTGCTTTTTGGCAAAGTTTTAAACTCTTGCGAAATTTAGGTGATGTTGACAAATGGGCACTGCTTAAGCTACTTACTGGTACAGAAGACATCCTGATCCCATCGATTTCACCGGAGGAATTCAGAATAGAATTTAAACGAGTCCAGGGTTAAAGAAGGAGTGAAACTTAATCTTAAGATTACCCAGGTCACGTTTAAAGATACGTGACTGCGCAACCTCTTTAATTCAATGTACTTGCACTTGAAAAAGTACGAAACTACTTCAATCGATGAATGTGTTTTTCTAGTGCTAGCCTCTTCGCAAACTTAGACTACACAACGCGCCATACAAAGGTGTACGTTGGAATAACAAGAAAACAATAGGGAGATGAACGAATGTCTAAGGGCGTAAACAGGAAGCGAAAAATTGAAGTGGCAATGGACTGGACAAGTTGGAAAGTCGCTGTACAAAAGAGACCTGAGATTCTGCTGAAATAGAGAGTAAATGGTCCGCAGAGAGACCTCCAGATCAATGGCGGAATGTGGCATATATTTAAAGCTGACATGTCATGTGAATAGAACTATACTTCAAGCGAAACAGGAAAAATATGCAGAACAGGGATATAGAAATTCTAGGAATAACAAAAATGAAGAACGCGACACACCTATGGAAGTATAAGCATATAAAATTACAGTATACTCCAGGAAATTTATTGTACTTATTTCATCCCCTATGGCTGGTATGATTTTTCTATTTGTACAGTATTAGGTAAATAAAATTTATTTTTATTGTCGAAGCTGTGACCTGTTTCAGTTGAAATCTCAAGAAGAGAAGACTTTGCCATCATCGAAAAGTCTGTTTTCGTTTTGGATCTCCGTAAGCTCCAAGCCCGCTTCAGCGGATTAAGAAAAGGCGTGCTCTACTACGCGCGGGTGTCTTCTGGCAATTTCGCGCAGTTCAGTGAGCCCGCTTATTCGTCGCCTTCTTGTTGCTCACCCTCCAGTGAGTGCAGTGCGCAAGATCTGTGTATGTTTAAGTAACCACGTCGTGTTAGGCTGGCGGGACGTGACCTGTACTGAAGATAGAAAAGCCGCTGCCAAGGACGAACTTTCAGATATGGATCAAATCCTGAAGCGGATGCAACAGGAAATTTCC